AGAGTCTGCAAATTAAATACCACTTAGGACAGTAGTTTGTCATGGGTTAGGGGGTGATGCTGGCAAATTGTTACTTCTGTTCCTTGCAGAGGATGGCAGTTGAGCATACCACCTTTTTAAATCACTTTTTTTCATATAATCTGATGAGACAACCTGTCAGTGCAAGACCAGTCTGTGCAAGGCATTTTGCTCACTTTTCTCCACCCGATCAGCAGTTTAAAAGCTTCCCTGTTCAGCCCCACATCACAGATGGAAAAGGTGCGTTAGTGTCTGAGCTGTCATCCTCCCTACCATGAAGCAGTGTGTGCAGAGCAGATTCACAGCGCAGAACTCCTCTCCTTTCAACCCATCCATCATCAGGTGGAGCTTTGTTTCGACCTTCCTTTTAATTTGTTTGGGCCAATGTTTATTTGACTTAGAATTTCTGTGTTGTCCCAGACAAACTGTTTCTGAACCCAGGCAGATTACGTGTGCAGGCTGCGTGTATGTAATGTGTGCCAGCTGCATGCATGCTTTAGGAGGATGTACTACAATTTTGTGCTGATTTGTGAACACAGAAACACAGTCAGATAACTTCTCTGATGGAAGGAAGTAGGTAAAAGGTGTATTGTCATGATTTACAGACCTAAATAACAGACTGCATTAGGAGATGGTCTGTATAAGGAGATTTAGGTTCTGTGCATTTGTCTCTTTCCTGCTCTCTGTTATCACTGTAAATAGTTTGTCAGTTATTATAGTGATTTTCATGGTGATGGTAATATTGTATACCTCTGTCTGTAAATGAAGTTTTCTAGCAGCATGTTGCATACCTGTTACACTCATTTCTGATTTGGGTAGACACCAGTTCTTCATTTCTCCATGGAGCTTTAAAAGAGTGGTGGATGAAGATAAAGGGAAAGAGAGAGATATACACATGCATGACCTGTCCCCGGTGTGTGACTGCTGTTTTGCTAGATTGGTTTCTGACAGTTCAGTTTTGATGCTCTCTACCTTACCTTTTTTACTACAGAAATTAAGCATCACAGGTTAAGTATCATCTTTTCCAAATGTCCCCTTTAGCTCTGCAAACCTATTCTCATGCTTACTGGGTCTAATTTGATATTAAACAATACTGACTTCACTGTCTTCATGTTAAAAGGGTCTTAGTTGGAAATGTCTTAACTTCATTTCTCTGGATTGAACACAGCACAGCCTTCCCTGGTCCCTTCTCTGAAATATCACTGCTTTTTTGCAGTCCCTGGAGGCGAAGAGCATTCACCTTTGGTTGTGGGAGTTAGATACAGGCAGACTACCGAAGTGAGCCTTTTCTCCCTTCTCCACATAGGCAGCTCATCCTGCATCACAACACCTGAACTGCGGTTGCTTCATCCCCAGAGATTTGGTGCTTGTAGCAATGCCTCCACTGTGAGGAATAAATGAAATACACCAATAGTTCATGCTCACAGCTCTACAGGCGAGAAAAAAAGGGTGAGAAAGGCTGCTTTTGAATACTTGAGCAGCATCTAGGCTGGTTGGCAGCACTGTGCGTGCTCCCAGGTGCCAAGTGTCTCAGGGCTTGTCCCCCCAAGGCAGGGACCAGCCAGGAGGTCTTCATCTCCTCTGGTATCCACAGGGACACAGGCAGTAGTGGTTTAGCTGAAAAGCCCCCGAGAAAGGGCTGGAGAGAAGCAGGCATTTGCTCGCATGAGTACAGGTTTCCTTGCTGCTGCTCCAAGGCTAAGGTGGGAATAAGGCAGCAGCTAGCGGCAGGGCCAGGAGAGGCACCTGCATGGGATTTTGGCAACCCAAGGGAGGTGGTGTGGCCACTGGGGAGGGCTTTTACCCTCTCTTAGAATCACTTCCAGTGACCAAAGTGAGAAGAGGAGTAATTTAAATTGTGATCTCTGCTGATGGTGTAGGCGTGGAAGGGTTATTGCAATACTGAAGCATTATTTTGGGAAAATTCTATGTGGGCCAGTCAAGAAAAGGCTTAGCTGCTTAATCCTGGTTATCTGCTGTTAGATCTTCAGAAAAATCTCCTGGAGAGATTCAGAGCAGCATCTGAATGCACAGACCTCACCCAGTGCCCCAGCAGCTCCTCTTCCTTAGCTTAGAGGCTGGGAAACAGGGAGCGCATAGCTCCTTGCATGTGTAACTGCTCCAGCTGGTGAGCAGCAGTCTTTTTTTCATAACTTATCTTTGCATTTGTATGCTGAAAATGTTCAAATACTTCTGATTAATAATCTGGAGAATCATCTTTGGCTTCTCCCAGGTGGAGTCCAGGGCTAGAATTAAGTGAAAATGGTTTAATGATGGTGCATTACTTGTAATTATTCTGTGGCTTTCATTCTGCCTTCACCTTCGATGGGATGTGTTCCCTCAAAGGACACCTGTAGTAATTCTTAAATCTTCCAGTAACTGCAGAAATGCAGGTAGAGAAGGATCAAAACTTTGTCTAGAATTCAGAAAATATCATATACATTGGAGCAGAAAATACAATATGGATAATAGTTGATCTATAACTTTTCAATGTGTTATTTGCATTCTATTGTGTGAAATTTAAGTGTGGTGCTCACTTGCAATACATGGAATGTCTCCAGAGTGACGTAGCTAAAGTCACTTTTATATCTGCCATCCTCTATCCTCTGTTAGAGGGAGTGTTTTTTTTCTGGTGAGATTATTAAAATGTAGGGGTTTATTTCCCCCCTTTTCAGTCATCTCTGAGGCAGTGGATGTTGCTTCTGTTAAAAAAAAGGTGATGTATTAAACTCACAGGCTGTGTATTTTTAAGACTTCTGAGGAGGTGCAAAGACACTTATGTCAATAATGTATTCCTCAGAGAAAGTATCAATGTTTGCTCTGCAGACACCTATTGGGCTGTTTTGTTTAGTTATCAGAGACTTGAGTCCACACTGCTTTAAAAATAAATTTCTTGTGATATGGGATGTTGAGGTGTTGAATCATAATTGCATGCAGACCCATGTTTATTTCTTCCATAAAAACTATAGTTCTTGTTACTTTTTTCCCTTTTTACCTATGTGGTTAGCCAAAATTTGGTCTTTGCCTCACTGGAGGAATAGTGGGGATAGTTAGCTACATGCATGCAAAGTCTTTCTCTCTGGAATTGGGTGTTACCAGGTGTCACATCCCTGTACGTCCCTTGGATCCTCCCTGCACATCCCCAGCATCTTGCTGGACATGTTAGGACCCAAGTCCAGCTCTGTGCAAGGGTTTTCTCCTCCAGGTATGCATCTGCCTGCGTGTCAGCAGCTGAAACTCCTTGCCCAAATAGTTCAGATCCCAGATCCTGTTTGTGTATGCTTCTGTTTGGGGTGCACACAGAAACAGGTGAGTTTGGGATCTGGAGGCTGATGTCCTCACCAATACCACCTGTGTGGAGGGGCTCACCAAACACACACTTCTGTCTTTGATGTGGGCATCGTTAGGTTTCCTTCTGTGTAGAGCGATCAAAACCAGAGAACCCAAATCTCCAGTGGCTCTACCCGTTGATCGCAGCTCCTCTAGAAAAAGCCATCTCACAGTAGTCATTCTCACATGGTGCCCAGCATGGACACTTCAGTCTAGAGTCGAGGGGCCAGGATGGAGACTGGTTTTGGAGTGTCCCTTGGACTCAAGTACTGAGTCTAGGGAGTGTGGGGTGTTGCTTTCTTGGTGAGTTTTTTCTCTCTCTTTCTTTCTTTCTCTCTTTCTCTCTCTCTTTCTCTTTCTTTCTCTCTCTCTCTCTCTTTCTTTCTCTCTCTCTTTCTTTCTCTCTTTCTTTTTCTTTCTTGCTCTCTCTCTTTCTCTTTCTCTCTCTCTCTCTCTCTCTCTTTCTTCTTTTCTTCCAGATATAGGTTATCCCTTCTAATTCTGCCAGGCAGTTTCCTTCCATAACAAGAGCCTTATTCATATGTCCCACCAGGCACTGGAGCTGGAGCACTGCCCTGGGTGGGCTTCGTGTTCTGCTTTACCTTGGTTTTGCCCTTTAACTTCTGAGTGCGGGAGAGAGGCAAAACAGGTGACTTCATGAAGCGACTGGAAGGCTGTTACACTTAAAGGAACTTTTTAAATGTATTTGAAAGGTATTTTTCGTTTTAATAAACACAGCCACAGTAATTAACTAGTATTGTTCTGATGATGTAGCCTTCATGTGCATTAAGATACTTATTTTTAATACTTGATAGGTTGCTTTATACAGTGTTATTTCAGCTTTCTTTTATAAATAATGTATTAATTTATGTATTCTCTGCACCAGTTGAGCATTGGCAATGGTATTATTAGAAACTCTACAATCAGACTAGAAATTCCTTGGGACAGAGTTATCTTCTGTGTTTTGTTATAGCATCTGGCATAAAGGAGTTTAGACCCTTGGGAGCTTTAACGTTGCTCAGTTTCAAACCTGGTCACCAAGTACTGCTTTCAGGCAACAGCTTCAGACAAGGAAAATATCAATTGGACTTATATGAACATGTAGTAAAAAATACAGGCTTTCTTTGGTATTTGGAAACCTGATGCAGAAAAAGATATGGTGAAGATAGCAACTGATTTATCCCAGAAAGACAATATTGTTTATAACCTTTAAACGTATATGTACCAAATATCACTGTAGTTACTACCATGATGACGAGGTTCTCTGAAATATTTCCTGGAAGTACCACTGAAAGTGGAGAAAGGAGAAGTGCCACCTCTCAGAAAAGAGAAAAAATGTAGAAGTTGTTACTTAAAATATATCATTGTATTTTTTTAATTCACATGAACACCATTTTTACCCCACTTCAGCGAATGCAGCAAACAGCTGTGTTGTTGGTTAACCACGTACAACGATTTACTTGGTGGTGGCATCAGTGACCTGAATTTTGGGTAACACAGATGCCCTCATTTGAAACCTTGTCAGGCAATGGGCACATTGGGTGCTCACTGGCCTGGCTCACAGGTGGTTTCCTAGAGGGCTTTCCCTGACCTTGGCTTTTCCTCCCAATATTTCCCACTCATGTGTATCTCCCCTCTCTCTGACTTCCCAGCCGCTGGGCCAGCCGCAGCACGACCACGCAGCGGAGGAAAGACCGCCTGCGGCAGCACTCTGAGCATATTGGGCTGGACAACGATTTGAGGGAGGTAGGTGGCATCCTCTGCGGGCGGCACGCGCTTGTGCACCAGGAGGTGCAATTCAGACAAACAACACTTTGTTACTTTGGGCAATTTTGTTGCTACTGTAAGGTTTGTGCGGGTCTCTGCAGCCATTTCATTTAGGTGCTGCTTGTCATAGATGCCTGTGTTTGTTTGTACAACTTCAAAGCACAAGACAGACGTAAAATGCTTTTATTATTTGGGAATAAGATATCCCTTTTGTCATCAGGAAAAGGGCTGATTTACTGACAAGGGCCCCAGTCATGTAAATGCACACAGAGAGCAGAGCCCTGGTCCCTGCCCAGGGTGCAGCTGCTGAGCACTGCCCAGGGTGAAGGTCTCTGCAAAAGTCAAGTCCTTGAATAAATGTCAGCGCTATAGAGGCAAATGAGGCAGGACTTTTTTTTCTTTTTTTTTAAAGGACTTTTTTTTCTCTCTCTCTTACGTAGATTCCTGCCATGAGTAAGCCTATTTGAAAGGTTAAGACTTTGGGGCCTTTTTATGCCTAAAGTTTGGAAACTCCCATGCATCTTGTAAATGTCAGTCACATACATGTATTTCTTTCCAATCTTTTCAGTTTCTTGTCCTTCATTAAATATTTTCTGCCATATTTTTCCATTGATTTTCCATGTGCTGCTTTTGTGTGTCACTAGCAAAAATAAATCATTCATGCTGTTTTGTGGTAAATCTTGCTGAATAATGTTGGCCAGCGTTGCCATTTGCACTCTGAAAGAACCTGGACAGATGAGTGGACTCTTGAGCTGTAGCTTTGAATGATGTTTCATGGAAACACAGCAAAGCAGCACTTGTACATGTTTGTTGCTATTTTTGCTAACGTGGCTTTGCAAGTATATATTAAACATTGCCTCATGTGTATATCTCAGCAGAGCCTTTTCAATACTTTGTCATGTATTTACTTTCTTCTTTTTTTTTTTTGGCTGTGGATCATATGCATGCTTCTTTTGCTTTGTCTCTTCTTTCTTTCTGGCTATTCTGCCATTGGGGCATCTCCCTCCTCTTAGCCATCGGAGGAGCTTTTGCTTCGTCAGAATTCAATGGCCTTCTGGGAGTGGGATCAGGGACCACCCCCTCCTGCACGGCCTCCTAAAAAATCCTTCTCTGAATGCTGCCTGGTATGTTTTAGTTTTTCTTGTTGAAAGCTGCTTTTGAGATGTTGTTAGCGTGAGGAACCACTGTCTTTGCTGCATCTCAAACTCTCCCTTTTGCGTAGAGTATGAGCACATCCCTGTAGCGCTTGGAAGTGTGGTTATAATCGGAAAAGTAACTGGACATCAGCTGTAAGCTTCCACATCAGCTCCATGAAAACATCAAGGCTGAAAGATGAGAATGTTGTTTTACTTCACTTTTTCCCCATGTTGCTCGCCTGGCAATTCAGCTTAGGGTGTGAAATCCCAAAAGCATTGTTTTCTGACTGCTGGATCACCACATCCCAGTGTGGAAGAGAGTGGTGGTGTGTGGATGCTGATGAACAGGCAAAGGGCAATCAATTGGATCTTTCATCCCACCCTTGTTCTTCTCTTGAACTTATATGAGTGAATAATTTTTATTTTTTATTTTAGTATACTAACAAGACATACAATGAATAAAGGTTATCTATGCTTTGTACTCTTCAGACTATAACTGCACTTTGCATTTTATTTATCCCTTTGCATTTATAAAGAAATATTAGATTACCTAATTATATATTCCCTGCATTTTTCTTTCACTGTTTTTGTTGCTAATTTTTGCACTGAATTAGATGGAAGTCACTTGCAAGATTGCTTACTGAACAACACACTTATGTCATCTGTGATTTTTTTTCATTATTATTCCCACATGTAGTTTTTCAGCTATGTTTAAGTCCTTTCAGTATTGGTGAAACCATAATTACCCAGCTGAGCACTTTTGTTGGACACAACTTCCCATGGCAGAACCCAGTGTTCTTGTCTGACTTGTGGGACCAATGTTAAGTGCTTCATGTCCAAATTTTGTACTGAAAAGATACAGATGTGTCAGAAAAAGTCCCTCATTACAAAAAATAAAAAAGAGCAACTTCAATAAGCTTCAGTGTGTTTGGATTTTGCTTTTGCTAAACCGATTATTTTCTCCCCAGACAGAAAGCTGTGAGAATGCAGCAGCCGTAGCATCCTCTCAGTTCCCCAGCAAACCCATCCAGCAGCGGTGCTGAGTCGCTGGGGAGGTGGGATCTGTTCCCCTCGGTCCTTGTCACCTGCTGTCCCTAAAGAGGCAGCATTAACTGTATAAAACCAAACTATAGGAACGGACCATTCCCACACCAGCCTACGAGCACTGTGCTTCAAGACTGTTTTATTTGGCAACATTCTGGTTTTTTTACTCTTTTTAACAAATACTTTGTGAATAATGCTTGGGTAACCTTTTCATAGGTTTCATATTTGCACCCCCGAATGCGGCCAACTCCTTAGCTTTGCTCAGCACATAGTCCTCTCACTGATGCTGGGAGCAAAGGACACTTGGTTGATTGGTTTGGGGTTTTTTTGCTTAATAAAAACAAAATAAAATTAAAAAAAAAAGCCCTGAACAATAAGGCAATGGAACAGGAAGGTTTAGAAGTCTTTTCTTATAGCTTGAATCCTTTTTTTAAAGAGGATTTTTGTCTATGCTTCTCAATTACGACACCACAGTAAAAACATGACTGATACGAAATGTCAGTTTCATTTAGAATGAGCTTCACTTGTAATTAAGAAGCTAATTGAGAATAAAATCAAGTCTGATTTTTTTTTCCCCACACATAAACTGTCCAGATGAAAACTAATGGATGAAATCTTTCCCCTTCACTAGGTGTATTTCTTGTGATTTATTTTCAGATTATTTTTTCCATTCATGTACCGTCTGCAACAAATTAGACAAATGGCTTCTAATTTTTTTGAAAATTTTTAAAATGAAAACCAAATAACAATGGAAGGAAACTTTATTTGATATTTTTACTTTATTGCCAAATGAAGGTATCGCACTTTTATGCACTGGCTAACTTTGTGCTAGTGATTAACAGCACTGTTCACTAGCTAACATTGACTGTTTCAGTTCCACACAGGAAAATACCTTGGTTTTAGTGTTGCCAAAAGGGAGCATTCCACTTCTCCAACCTGACACCTAAGCATCAGACAAATCATGATGTAGTTCCTAGATTAACATTAGTTCATTCCTTTTCACCAGCATTTGCTTGCCTAGGATTAGGATGAGGAGAATCCCTCTGACTTGTAATATCTAAGATTGTGCTGTTTATTTTTAGAAATACATGCAGGAGGCCAGGAGTCTAGGAAAAAATCTGAGGCAGCCCAAACTCTCAGACCTCTCTCCAGCTGTGATTGCGCAGACCAACTGGAAATTTGTGGAAGGGTTACTGAAGGAATGTCGCATGAAGGTAGGTCCTCTCCCTTCCCACTGCCCCCTCTCTCCCCCTTGCTTACCCTGAGCCTAAATAGCATCTGCAGGTGATGTCCTGAAAGTCCTTCACAGCTGGGATGCTGTTGGTGTAACCAGGCTATTGCAGGGGGGATGTCCCTTTAGTGTTACATTTTTTAACTGCTGGAAAATAAAGGAACGTGTTACTGCTCTTCCATTTATGCCGTCAGAGTTGATGAGTAAAAAGGGTAGGAAGGAGAATCAGTGTGACCAGACAGAAAGGATTTCCTGTAATTGTTCATATGTAAATGTAGCCTAAACATAATGGGCTCAAGATCCATGGTCAAAAAACAAAGCATTCAGCATGTGTGACTGTTGTGCATGTTGTTTATGCAGAGTGAATGGAGTACAGCCATTTCTAATACTGGATAAGCTTCCATAGCCATGGAAATATAATTTCTTTGTGTCACTTGCAGCTGGTGGTATTCTGTATTATCTGAGTTTTAAACTTTAATAGCTGTAACAAGAAGAAAACAGATACTGAGTAAGACCAAAAATGTTTCTAGCTCTGTACTCTGTTTTTGATACTGGTCAGTAATAGATCAACGGTGTGGGAATAGGACAATAGATAAAGGGTATAGAAATAGGACAGTATGGAGTCATCATGCAAACTTTTTAATTATTCTTTTTAATTTACAATCTGTAAAGAAATTTAAAGTTTCTCTGCTCAGGCAATTAGCGATGTTCTCTAGATGAAGCACGTTTAAGTAAACTCAGCTATAAATTCTGTCCCTTGTTGGATAATTTTCTTAGAAAACTTCAGGGACTTTTTTTTTTTTAAAGACTAAACGCATGTTGGTAGAGAAGATGGGCCATGAAGCAGTCGAACTGGGACATGGAGAAGCCAACATAACAGGTCTGGAGGAAAACACATTGATTGCTAGTCTCTGTGATCTGCTAGAAAGAATCTGGAGCCATGGTCTGCAGGTCAAGCAGGTTGGTAACTGGCAACTCGGGACATTGTGCATACAGTACTCCAGCAAATACCGAATGCCATCTCTACCTTTTAAGTGGCTACTCATGGTGTCATTCCAGTGTTGAGTGGGAGGTATCTTTGAGATCAGAGTCCCTGATTCATATCTTGTGAGGTCTTGGGGTTTTTTGGTGTATTTTCTTTGTTTATTGTGGGTTTTTTGAGAGATATCTCTGGAAATTGCAATGATGTTGTCAAATAGGTGTTTGGTTTCTTCTCTTTCAACCTTCAAAAGGGAAACCCAGGGAAAGGACAAAGAAACAAGGTGGGTAGTGTGACTGCTAGGTCAGTGAGGTGGTCTCCTCTTCCTGAGGTCTCATGGCCCAAGAGAGAAGGATTGACTCTCACCACAGAAATTTTGGCTTACTAAAATGCCACCTTATTATTTCACTGTGTTCACTGGCCTGTTTTCCTTTACCTCATTTATTTAAAGCTACATACTAAATATTCAATTTTCAGGGGAAATCTGCTTTGTGGTCCCACTTACTTCAGTACCAGGAGAGAGAAGAGAAACAAGAGCACAGTGCGGAGTCCCCAGGTGAGTACTCAGCAGCTGACTTCATGAAGGGTCATGCAAATGAACATCAGAGCAAATGAACTCAGGCCTAGTAGGAACAGCGTAACCACACAAAACCCATGCAAGGTTTTCCATGTATTTGTTTGCTAATACCACATTTACATTTTGAGACCTTTCGTAATCATTGTGAAGACGCCTAAATGTCTGGAGAAAATAGATTGACATCATTGAAGGCAAATGAACATACTTATTATCCCTGTCTAAAAAAATCACTCGATGTCTGTTTGCTCCCTTCATTCCCATTTAATCAACACTGAGTGAGGTGTGAGAAGCAGTGCTTCCACAAGAAGTGATTACTGGAGTAGCTGAAGATGTGGAGCTGTGACTAAGAGAGCTGACATTTTTCTTTCAGTGCACATAATCTGTCTCTCAATTCTCGATGTGAATAACTCTGCATTCAATGAACATTTAAACTGGTGGACTGTACAGTTTAGAATTTCTGTGATTAATCTCTATCCAGCAGTTTAAGTGCTCAGTGGATGCTTTGGTTTGGACCTTTACAATCACTAAATTACTTCTGTGTTGTGAGAGTGGTTGGTTTTCTGAAATCTACCTGCCCACAGATTGCTGCTGAGTTATTGCAGTAAAAGTCTCTAAACTTTAGTGGGTCATCTTCTAAGGACTCTGCAATCCTCCTAATCCTGCAGACAGGAACTTGTATGAGCAGTCCTCAAAGACATATCTATGGACAAACTAGTCCCACTCATGAAAAGTCTTTTAAATAAGTTTCAATGAGTAATGCACTAAGCAATCTGGCTGGCAGGCACACATTCCTGAGAGCAAAATGTGTCACCACAAAGCAGTTTGATCGGAGTAGCAGAGCACAGAAATGCATGGCATACTTAGCATCAAATATGCTACTGTAGCTTATTTTTATCATATCCTTCTCAGTTGTGAGCTTTCCGTAAAAACATATTGCTAATAAAACTCATCACCGTACAGATTTATGGTAATGTATTTCACATACGGAAAAGGAAACTAAATCTCCAAGTTCAGTGCTGGATTAAGGAAGGAATAGGTAATGTTAAGCATTTTTCATTTTGTTGTCTTCTACGTTTCTAGGGTACAGTTAATGGTAATGCACAGAAACATTGCAGTTACCAGCCACTTAAGATTGTTTTATTTTCAGCTGTATGTAAAACAAATGCATTGCAGACCATTATTGTAATTTTGTATTAACTTCATCTATTTTCTCCATTGTAGTTGCTGTTGGAACAGAAAGACGAAAGTCTGATACAGGAATTGCTCTACCTACTTTGAGGGTTTCCCTGATACAAGATATGAGGTACACAGTTTGTTTCCTAAAGCATTAATTGTGGGCTTAAATGTGTAACGTATAGTAAAAAGCCTCACTGGCTTTGGATTTACAAATAATTAAACCTTCTCCTTAGCCTGCGTTCAAATCTACAAAGTGTTGCCTTTCTGTTTTACAAAATTTTTTTGCATGTTCACTTTATTTATTTTAGCTAAAAGACGCTGAAAAATACACGTTTTACTGGCGTTTTTGTTTTCCCAGGGGGTTCATCTGGCAGTAAAGCCAACTTCTACAAATAGCAGCAGATATGTTGAATTCCTTAGTACTTTGGGTTTGTTTCTTTTTGTTTGTTTTAAATTACTGACCAAGCAAGTACAGTTGATAGACAAAGAAAAGGTACAAATAAACCTGCTCTCACTGCCTGAACAATACTCTTTCTTTTCAACTGGAATTTTATGGCAAGTACTAATTATTGTACAAATTTAGAAATGTCATCAAACCTAGTATTTGGGTGAGTTTAAAAATGGAATGTGAAGTAAGGGCAGGTGCTCTGCTCTCCTGCAGACATGGCTCTGACCACAGCCTGGCTCTGGAGAGCTTTTGGAGCAGTGTTGATTGAGAAATGAAAGGCTTAGAGAATGCAAAGAGGTGGAGGCTGATATAATGGCAGCAAGCAGAAGTTCTCCAGGGCATCACCTTGATGAAGCCACTGCCAGCTCAGGCCACTCTTCTGACATTTCACTTGCCATGGCTAAGGATTGCAGTGGGGTAAAAGTGGCACGAAAAGAGGGGAAGAGTCACGCAATACTGCTCATCTGTAAAGAGCTGCTAACAATTGCGAGCAATTTCATGTGTGAGGCAACATAAGTATCGTCTCTTGTAACACCGTGCCCTTCTCCCATGTAAAAATATGGCAAAAAATTGTACGGTAAAAAATAAGATTAATTGTAGTTAGTTCACAAAAACATGATTACAGTGATGGGATTTTTTACCATGTGTGTTATTACAGGTTGGGGTTTTTTGTGATGTGAGATCACACAGATTAGTCAGACTTTTCTGAAAGAAAATTATTGTACTTCCCATCTGCAGTGTGCAGCCTTTGTGTTTGATGCCATGTTGTTTGAGTCCTGTGCTCTGATTTCCAAGAATATGATATGCCACATAGGGCTAAAACAACATCAGAAAGAGGGAGGGATAATATATACAGTGTAATTAGGAGTGTAATGCCAAGAGGTCATTTTGAACATGTGTCTGTCCTTTTGGCATCCCTCTCATGGGACATGGCAGCTATTTACTTAATTCAGTCCTGCGAGGCTGACAGGCACGGAGGGGGTCGGTCTGAGGATGAAGGAGGATCTGGAGCGGAAACTCGCGTGCTGGGAGGGGATGGCAGCCAGAGGAGGCCGTGTGCGCTCGTTGCTGCGTGCATGGGTTTTGCATTCCACGTACTTCCACTTGAGTGGTGGAAGCCCAGCGCGGATCTGAGCTCTCTTGTTTGAATCACAAGAGTGTATCTGCTGCTTTTCAGAGAAAAAGTACAGAAGCACAACCCTACTTTTTGTAACACCTTGGGTATTTGTGATTGTCCACAAACATGCCTGATCATAGAAAATGTTAGGCAGATGGTGAGTTGAATTTGTCATCCATAATCTCATAGCCTACTTTCTCCTGCTTGGAAGGAATGCTGCTTAGTATCTGTTTGCAGACACAGATTTATGGTGAAGTTTGGAGGATGGGCAATTGTTAAATTGCCGAGTTTGCTGTGCTAACTGAACTAATGGCTGGAGAACTAAGCATTGCCTTAAGCACGGCTTGTTTTTGATGGCTCATGCAAGGTTATGTAAACAACTGAGAAAGCAGGGCTGAATCACAGTCAGGCTGTGAATGCGCGATGAGCCTGTGCTACAGGTAACGCTGTGTGTCCTCTGCCTCCCTCATGAAGCATCTTAGATGTGGTGAGGAAGATGCTCAGAATGTTTATTTTGGTTCTCTGCACGGAGAGTCTCTGCACAAATGTGTTTGGGGTATGCCCTTCAGCCTTTCCCCTGGGCAGGGATCTACAGCATCTCTCCCACCCCTTTTCCAGCTCCCTGGCAGGCTCCTGCTGCAGCCTGCCTTCTGCATGGCCTCACCCCTCGAGCACGTTGCTGTGCATCCAGCCAGCCCAGTCAGCACCAGGGCAACTCCCCAAAACCTTTGATCCAGCTGGGCTTAAGTTTCAGGTCCTTCCTCTTCAGCAAGCCCTTTCCTTGCTACCAGCGCTTTGGTGCCTCCTCTCCCAGCTGGGATCTTGCAGTGGAGGTTGCAAACCCTGGGCACTGTGCCCATGGCAGCGATGCTTCCCCTGCTGCAGTCAAATGAAGCTGGGCTACCAAAAAACTGCCACCTACACGGAACGAGCTGGTACAGCTCGTTTCTGGCTGCGCTGGGATCAGGAGCATGCACACCATCCTCAGGAGCGCGGCGACACTGAGCAGCTGTAACCTCTTCTGGCAGCACAGCTATTTGTGGAGGGTATGTCTTGCCATACCCCAGGCTTAAATTTGACAGGGAAAATAGGTTTTTCTTCATTACTAATGGGGTCAAAAACAAGTCCAAATCTAGGGAGTTGCAGTGAAATTGCTGTTCAGTGCTCTGACAAGAAGAGTTTGCTCCATGGTGGTGAGCATACAGCACTTACACTTAGGTCACTGATAAAAATAGAGCTGTTCTGACTCTCACAACTGAGAGTGAAATGAATTTAAGTTCTTGAATGCTCTGTTCTGTTACACTTTGCATTTGCTGACACCGTGACCGATCACTGAATCTTTGTAATGTTTCTGGCAATCTGTTTGGTTGCAAATCCTTATTTTTTCCTAAATGCACAACTAATGCCAATCTGGTCTGAACCAGAAACAGGTAATGAAGAGGTACAGAGCGTGCATGGAATAAGGTTGAGCCCATCTGTACTTGAATCCTCTCACAGTAAAATAACATACTCAGCTCCGTGTTTCATATTAGATGTAATTCAAGCCGAGCACTGGGGGAGAAGGGGAGGGAGATGATAGTCTGTGCTTTGATCTTCCTATCTCAAAAGACTTGAAATGTCTGAGGCAAGCGTCTCAACATGATGTAGTTGTGTGTAGTGTGCATCCTGCTTCTCAAGGACTCCACATCACGTGCCCAGCTGTCTGGGCTGGAAAGTCAAGCACTGACTGCCACACTCGGAGCCAGGAAGGGCTTGTTTCTTCCTGATGGTCCTTCAGATATGTACATAGAGCGCAGAGCCATGTGATGCAGAAACCCCATCTTGGATTGCAAAGGAAGGCCTGTATTTTGGAAATTCATGTAGGTTAGCCTGGCAGAGAACAGGGTTGCTGAGCTATGTCTGGTATCCACCTAATTTTTTCGGAGTGAACACATATTTCTGGACAGCATTAAGCTGTACTTTGCAAATTTGCCCTTCAGGTCCTAGTTCTGTTATGGTAGAAGCTCTATAAATGAGAGTATTTTTCTTCAGATACTGCAGGGCCTAAATATAACACAAAGCACACGCTTGGGTATAACAGATGGGGGAAAGCACGAGACAGTGAGACTATACTAGTCAATGTAAAAAGCATCAGTCACAGCATGGCTTTGTTGGATTTTCTTTGGAGTAAATATTGCCACGTTCCCTGATGTTCAGCAATGCACTGGGGGCCTTCAAGGAAGATGCGGGAGTTGGAAAGTAAATCACAACCAAGATCAGTTCAGACACAGCTGATGGTCCTTGGAGCCTGCCACAGAGGATTGGAGGGCTGAATTGCCTGTGCACTTAGCATGCAAACTGCGTGAAAAATAAGAAATTGCAGCCTTTTCTTCCCCCTGCTGGAAACTGTTACTCATTTTTCTTGCTGTTTACTTAACCAAGTGAGGGGTTTTTAGAAGCAGCTTTGCCCTGCCATGGCAGTTCTCTTCCTCTTCTAAAGCTCCCTGTGCTCTAAAACTAGGGTTTCTGGCAATCTCAAAAATGAAATACGGGAAGTTTTAAAAAAGAAAAGCAAAACCATAGAAGAAGGCCCCTGTGGAACAGTTCTGCTTTCCTAAAACCCAAGCATGTGGAGGGTTGTTCAGATTATCATTTACATGAAGGCCTCTTACATCCCTGGAAATGTGACTCAGCTTGTGACTGTCTGTTGCTGGTTTTGCCCCAACAATATTTTGTTTGGGTTTTTTTTGCCCCCTCAGATTTCCCATGGCTGCTGTCATCAAGGGCTTTGTTAGAGCCTTGAGAGTGGTTTGGGGAAACTCTTGTGATGTGTATTTTCCTCTGCCCTCCCAGACATACCCATTCACATCAGCAGCTTGAGGGAGTGACTGTGATACAACTTAGTGTCGCAAGGTGGCTGCTTCTTTTGAGTGTTAGCAGTGTCCATGAGGACATCTACCTCAGGCAATGTAGGGGTGAGCAGATCTACATCTACTCACAGTGGCCAAACAAATGCCAGGTCACAGAGCAGCTGATACAGGTTGTAGTGTGTCCTGATCGCAACCTGCCATGCCTGGGACAGACTGCCCCATGTCCCTGGGCCAGCCTGGGGCTGCTGGGGGCCTCAGTGCCACGGTGCAGGGTTCTGCAGGGTTACGCTGGGGTCTCTTTCTCTAGAAATTGTCAGAAGATGTTTTCCAATTCACAGCATCACTCTGGATGTTGCCATTTGAACCATGCAGGATTTTTATGATTCATCTATTATTATTTCTTTTTTCCTACCTGTTTCAGGCATGTTCAGAACATGAGTGAGATAAAGACAGACGTGGGGCGAGCCCGAGCCTGGATAAGGCTTTCTCTGGAGAAGAAACTTTTGTCTCAGCACCTGAAGCAGCTGCTTTCCAACCAGGCACTTGCCAAGTAAGCTGGCTCTTTTTCTCAAAGCTTCACTTTCGCGTCTTCCTCAGTGGTGTGTCAAGGTGCTGTGCAGGCTTGGGGTGCAGCCAGGCACCCTGTTTGAGTACTGTGGGTTTCCAGCTAGAAGGGATTGAAGGGCAGAGGGCAAGCTGAGGGAGGAGCTACTGCCCACCCATCAGGGCAGAAGTTTGCTCATCTGTGTGGAAAACTAATCACAGTTTTCAGGAAGGAGGCTTTAGATTTTGGTCAGATCAGTGCATTGATCCAAACCAGTTTGCGGCCCTACAATCATTACATTACCTGTAAATGAAGCAGCAGTGACAGGAATGC